CATCTACATGTGTCTCTCTGGAAGAAAGATTAGGGAACATGGCTTAGGTGCCCGGACGGGAAGGAAGCTCGTGATCCGTGCCCACGAGTTCTGCTTAGGTGCCGGTGTACGGCGCGCATTCGGAAGTGGACATGCACGGCTGATAATTCTCGTCAATAACGTGTGCGCTTTTAATAGTGTGTTTGAAGATTCAATAAAGCTAAGGGTGGTTGATTGTAGGCAACTTGAACAGGTCTACCATTAATCGTCTCGTCACTTACAGTGGCAATTAAATTGAATATAATTGATTGTCCAGCGGTTTAACCGTGACCGGTTGATTTAGATGCAAGTAATAGAGAAAGGAGAAATCGACAAAGGCGTGATCACTCATTTTGTCTCCTCCTTTGAAAGGTCTAATAGTATGAACCACTTTTTTTCTGGATGATAGCAACAACAATTATTGAGCAAGTATTTCTTTTCACCTGTTCATGATATCGACAACAATATCTTGGACCAAATCTTTCATATCTAAATGACATAAGAACATATTCACAAAAGAACAAGCTTGGCAAATTTAGTAGTTAATTTGCGTGTAGAAATGAAAGAAGCCTAAGTTTTATGTGTAGAAATCTTCATCGTCTCCACCCATCTTGTGAAACTTGCTCGTCAGGGTTCACTGCGGGAGCTCTACGAACGTGTTGCGGGAACGGGGGCGGCATCTACAACTACGATCAAGGCCGGAGGTGCAACGACAAGGGCTACACCGTGTGCGAGAATGTGTCGACGCATGTGAGCTGGGACGGCATCCACATGACGGAGGCCGCTCACCGTGTCATCGCCACCGGTTGGCTGCACGGCCCCTACGTCGACCCGCCCATCCTGAGCTCCTCCTCCTCCCAGAGCTGATACTCTCATCACCTATACCTGCTACGTTTCTGCAAGTTTCACACGCAAGGCTTGGCGTCAGCATTTCAAGGAACGGTCATTGCTCATCGAACACCAGTGCAGATTCTTGTGTCTTGTATGAAGGAATTGTTACAGGACTGCAACGCTTTAGCGTCTGCATTCCATTATGTTAATCATTCGATCTGATATTGTATTCATCCCATCAGCCTGTCGTTGTCATCCAAGTGCAGGAACGGGAAGGGAAAATATACATCTCTTGAATTGGTTTCATTAATTGTCCATCTGATACCTTCTCTCCCAAATGAGAGCTCTGAGGTTTATGATTCTTTTCGCAGATCTTACAGTCATTAGAATGATTATGTGAATCTTCAGCCCACCTTATAAATATAAGCCTGTTCCATTCTATCTATTAATAAGGTTTCCATTTGATGGGAAAAGGGCGAGAGATCATAGTTTTCAAGTATTTTAATTGATAATAATATGGAAAATATTCACCCCAGTCATCATCACATGGCGACAAAGTGAAACTATTGGGGTCAATAACATAAAATATCATAGAAATATTTTATTCATATTGTAAAATATTTTCTCACACTAAGTTCACTAAGTTCACTAAGTCATAATCGGGCCATATGAATATTAATCCAATATAAAACAACATCTCATCCATAACATTCTCTTGAGCTAAGTTCATCAAAAACTGATTAGAGCATCGGAGGGAGTATATTGAAAACTCATTCTATCTTGATCTTTATATATATCAACTATTGAGCACAATTACTAAGAAAGTATTCGAGTCTTTTTTTTTAAGTGACATCAGACTTTTTATGCATGCACGCTTGAACTAAGTCGGGTCTAGTTATCATTGACATCTACCACATCTTATACTCTTAATTCTTCAACTCGAACAATCATAAGTATTAAAAATATCATAAAAAGTATGATAAAATTAATTTAACATAAGCAAGGATTCGTTAATTGAGCTCGATAATATTATAAAAGAAACGTTTACTATGATAAACTTGTTTCTCTCTCATAATGGTTTAGAATATGAAACGTTAGTCATTCTACATAGATTTCATGGTCGACATCTCAAACCATGAAATTTGACAATGCTGACTATAACCAGAAGAACGAAATTTGATTTGAGTTGCAGATCTACATGTCCATTGAAAGATGAGGCACAACAATCTTGTGTTGGTGAGCATGGCGTGTTTTCTTTGATACAAAAAAATTCAAAGTTATATGTGTTGTGGGAAACAACTTTGAGCCATAGCCTCGGGGCTGACGCGGCTCGGTTCGGGTCCGGACGACGGGGATCTCCCTGGGGCGTTCCTCGAGCTCGCTGAGGCGGTCGAGTGCGGTGTCCGATCGGGACGGTGTAGCCGTCTCCTTCGGGCAGGAACTCCTCACCTGCGCGTCCGAAGGGGACCTTCAGCTTCGCACCTGCACAAAGGTCGGGCCGAGTTAGCAGATGTGGAGGGGGTTTCAGATGAAGAAGTATTTTTGTGTGTCTGTCCCCCCCCTCCCTCCTTTTTCTAATGAACGAGGGGGTATTTATAGGGAAGCATACTGTTTTCTGAGCTGCCTGCTTGCATGAGGCAGGCTGATAGCGTCTGACTTTGTGTTGGCGTGGCGTGAAGAATTGAGTTTTGACAGGATGTTAATGTGCCTCGGTCAACGTTCCGATCTGCATTGACCAAGTGTTGTTGCGTGAGGCGTCATCTGACGTCAGCCGAGTCTTATCATAATTACTATCCTCATCAATATGTAATTTTATTTAACTGATCCCAGTATCTGTTTCTACCCTTGGCTAGTCAGCTTTGACCTTCAATCGCATACTTTTCCTCATGTAATAATGGCTACGCGTATGCAGGTTATGAAATTTGATGCAATATGGATCCTGTGCACTTAATGGTCACTGATGACGTATGCTAGAGGGTGAATTTGAAATCTTTGTTTTTTGTAGCTAAATCCTTCGTGATGCTGATTATTTAAAGAAAGATTAGATTTTGTCATAAGATCAAGCAAAGTACTTGCAGACAGTGAGGCTTACATGGTACATAAGATCACCGGAGGAAAACGGATGAAACGATTCCAGAGATCAAATGGTAAATAGATGAGATCCGAGTTGCCCATGCAACTGGTTCTTGGATAGGTTTCGCTTGCTGCGTCTCACCCGTTAATCCTTCATTAGGCTCATGATGGGCGGGTGCGCGTAGGGTCCGTGCAACCAAGAGGCTGCGATTTGTCGATAGGAAGCTTCGGTGGCGTGCCAACCATCCCAATTCATGGCGGCCGAGGGATTGGCACAGGCGCTCGATCCCGGTAGCCCGCACAAGGCTTGGATGTTAAAGTTGTAAGGCCCACCCCCGCCACAGCAAGCTTTCAGAGATGGATAGCTAAATCCTGCATGTGGAAGAGTTGCGTAGGTCACTCACTCTTCATCTGAATGCATGGTAAATAGTATAACTCACCGAACTTGCCGGGGGAGCGAGCGAAACGGATGATGGGCTTGTAGAAGTCGGCATAGCTAATCCTCACATGAGGGTACTTCCTCCTGAGCTTCACTACTTCCTCGCGGAGCAATCGATTGTGATACTTGAGGAGATCGTTAGCTTTCTTCAAGCATCCGGTGTCGTGCTCGAAATCCCGCTTGCTGGTGCCGTTCAACATGGTGAGGATGCCCGAGAAGCACCCGCTCGGTGGGTTCCCCGGAACCACCAGGTTCACGGCCCCGAGCTCGATCAATCTCTGTAGGTGCCATGAAAGAGGAGGTGGTCAGTCAAGGTATGCAAAGTCGTGGCGGTATGGCGCTTCCTACCTCGGTGGCATTGTTGATTGCTTCGACGACCGTGGGCACGTACGCGGTCACCTGCTCCTCGGTCAGTCGGTGGAAGGTCAGAGGAACCAGGTAGTCGTTGCCCCCGATCTCCCCAACCAGGAAGAGAGATTTGCTGAAGAGCTTCCTGCAGTCTACACGCATCTCATCTCATGTGGTAATCAAGGCCTCTTTCTCGGGGACCGACAACAGTAACAAAAGTAAGCTGCTGTGACCTTCAGTCGTGTTGCAGAGGGAAGGAATCAGCTGCTCGAACCACCCAAGCTGGACGTTCAGTGACAAGTTCGTCCCAAGCATCCCTCCGAGTCCTCTCTGTTCGAAGAAGGACACGTCGAGTGCCGTGGCACCAGTGACAGCGAAGTTTACTCCTCTGGCGAAGCTCTGGTTTCGCGACAGGAATGGCGGGAGCAGCGGAAGTCCGAAAGCCTCGGCTGCATCAGAACAGAGTGCGGTATAATATTATTTTGCCAAGAAAGAAAGAGAAGATGAAGGTGGTGGTACCAAAGAAATCGATGATCAGGCGGCCGTCGGAGCAGCGGCCCGTCGGGTGGCCGAAGAAGGTCATGCCATAAGGAGTATTGCCGATATTTGGAGCGGGGAAGGCATTGGCGTTAGCAATAAGAAAATTGCCGGTGTCGGAGAGCGAGTCTCCGAAGTTGAATATGGCATCAAAAGTGCGGGTGGAGGAGGAGAGATGGAAGCACGAGATCAAAAGGAACAAGATGCAGACAGGAGGCTGCATGGTAAGCACCTGAAGGACCTTAACGAAGCTTTACGGTCGCATCTGGAACTCTGATCTGCTCTGCTCTGCTCGCTCTTCCGCGAAATCTATAGCTGAACCAGTCGACGACCGTGCTGCCCAGTTGAACAGGTGATAGTCATTGTTTTTAGCATTGGAAGTGAATTGCGTGCACGATTGAGCATTGATACATGATCAATTTCGTTGACTTTCCACATTACCTATTGCTTAGATTGTCCCTTTCGTTTCTCATCATTTTAGAATGTGGTATATGGTTCAATGCCCATTTTCAACGAATGCATCGCCCAAACCATCCACCGTTGACTTTCTAGATTATTTTTATTATTCGATGGATCACGAGCCGTAAATTTAGTTTCCTTAAGGTATGGACCAAACAACCTTCGATCCTCGTATATTTTCCTTTTCATACGCCCTCTATACGTTCCTGTTCTTACTCTGCAATAAGATCAGCTGACTCTAATCTTCAATCTCCAAACCAAAACGAGCCCAAGGAATCAGATGACAGCAGCAATATAATCAAAGAGTTACTGCTGTAATTCATCGAGTTCACATACAGAGCTGTTTTACATACGAGCAACCCCAATACAACATACTCCTCATGAACAATGGAGATCATACATCAATCGAACAAGCACCAGCTTCTTAGAAGGGAAGCTCTAGAAGTTCAATGCAACGGAAACCTACTGCAGGCTTCCCTAACAAGCATTCTGAAGTTTATTTATTACAGGACATCTGAAAGAAAGCATCACACACGGTAAGCAAACCAAAGTAGCATCAACAATAGCGTAGTCGCAAGCTTCGACTCCTCAGTATAAAAGTGATGAAGAGGAGCTTGAGGACTCGAACGGTGAGATCCTTCGCCTCTTGCTAGAAAATGAGGTCCTTGGCAGAAAGTCCACCTGTGAGTTGACTCTGTCAAGTATGGACTTGAGTGCCTGGTGAACAGTAGCCATTAAAACATGCTTGTCGATGGCGCGGGAGCTTCCATCAGACGTCATCACAAGAACATTCTTTACTCGGCCACCTAAAGTTGAAATCTCAGCCCTGATAATTTTCAGATGCAGGCTCTGAAGTGTCTGTCTTAGATCTGTCAGGATCTCCGGCCCTTCCTCACAACATAGAGATGCTTTGACTATAAAGCTGCCACTCTTCGTTGCATCTCCTTCAACTTCGACCCTCACCTCATCGACGTCGGATGGTATAGTGTAGCCTTCGCTGATTTCTGCGGCATTCTTCTTGAGTTTCTTTACGTGGTTGATCACTTGTGTGAGCAACGCAGCTTTGTCCAACTGCAAGAAGTAACCATTACCTCTTACTACGCAAGTATCAATTAATCTAACATCAGTCTTTCAATCTATAATATTTCGACGAAGCAAATGCTATGAACATTGACAGTGGGGACGTCCTACGAGGAAGGATATCGACATCACCAGTTCCCAAAACTCATTACAGATGAATCTTGGGTAACCTTGATTCTTTCGTCCTAATAATAAACTACTAAGGGTTTTCTGGCGTGCAACGACTCCGTGTCAGTCACGGGCGTGCTGTACCATCACGAGCATGCTGATGACATAGCTTAATAAAATAATAAAAAGAGAAAAAAATAATTGACATTATGGTTTGGAGGCCATTGATGCAAATATTAATATCCAATAGGCATCTGAGACGAACCGCGACTCGACCCACGAGTTTAGGCACACGGTGCTGCGGAGGTGGCAAGCATCCAGAGCGCCAGAGGTGGTGGGGTGTGTCTCCGAATGGGCACCATCACCGTGGCTCGTCCCCAAAGTCGCGCACCGGATCGCAGTAGGTAGTGATTTAACAGCAAAGAACGATCTTTGGCGAGGCCCGGTGAGCTTCAGATGCACCGATCTTCAACGGCGGCCCATAAACACAGCACAAGAACACACAGAGAGAGAGAGAGAGAGAGAGAGAGAGAGGGAGCAACCACCAACCTTGTCGGCGCAGGGGATCATACTCCTCAGCACGGCCAGGTGGTGGTTTATTCTCTCCCTCCGCCGCCTCTCGGCCTCGCTATGGCTCTTCAGCGCCAACGCTGTCTTCGCATCCACCACCCCGCCGCCCTCCTTCTTGCCCCCCAGCCTCGAAGGCGCCTTCACAAACTCCCTTCTTTCCAGGTCCAACACTGTCGATGACGACGACGAATCCGATCCGAAACCGAACCCCAGTCCATTCGGAAACCCTCTCAAGAACCCCAAATCCCCAACAGGAACAGAACCCATCGGCTGTAGAAACGACCCAGGAGCAGAGCCAGAATCCAAAGGCAAAGAGCTTGAAGAAGAAGAAGCAGAAGAAGAGGAGGAGGAGGAAAAGGAAGAAGAAATTTCTTTGTTGGGAAGTCAGGAACCGGGAGGGCGGTTCGGGGGGCAGGACCAGAAGGAGAGTCGCAGGCGCCGCAGCTTCCTCACTTCGCCCTCTACCCACTCGCCGAAGATGGATCCATGTTTCGCTCTTCTTCTTAGAATCCAATCGATTGCTTCCATTACCATTACGATACAAGGAGAGATTTGGAGGCAGGAGCTACTGGGACAAGGGTTTCATCTTCGATCTTCTGCTGAATTCGATCATCTCTCTTCGATCGTCGCTGATCACGAGCAGAGGAGAATGGACTCGTCGCAAAGGCGGAACCTTCTACTCAGAAGAGGGAAGAAGCAGACCTCCAAGGATGGGAGTGAACTCTCGGAAGAAGAGAAGAGAAAGGAGGCAATGTGGATGGACAGAACAGAGCAAGTGGGTATTGAATTTTATATATGACTAATTCGGATAAATTAATAGAGTAAGACAATTGCTGATGCTCTTTTTCTTTATATTTAAACTCAAGAGTCGATCAGTAACATGAGAGATGATAAGAGACATCAAGAATCATGTTGTAGAATCTGCGGAATATTCCAATGGCGATGAGTTGGTTTCCTCCGAGGTGATTTCTCCAAGACCTATCGCAGCGTGGTTGCCCGATCAGCACAGGGGGGAATGGGACCCGATGACATGCTGGTAATCTAAATTCAGCAATAAAATTTATTATTATCAAAATCAATTATTATTATTATTATTATTATTATTTACTTTCGTCCTTGAACGTAATATATTATTGTCAAAACCACTATTTTTCTCACCTGTTCATTTTAAATGGTCACAGCAGACCTGCAGCTTCGCCTTGAAAGTCCACCTCAATAACCTAACAAGTGACGAGATGATCGTCTGTCATCTCTTCTGGCATCTTATAATAATACCTTATCACCAATCTGCTTTTGGTGATCTTTAGCATTCAAGAACAGCAGCTTCCTGTGATTTCATAAATGCCAAAATGATGGTTCAGCTCGGGACATCTCGTGTTTGGCCAATGAGTTGCTCCCAGCGACCCATTGACCTACTGAGAACCTATATATTGTTTGGGTAGGACTTGAGGTACTTGGATTTTTATATCGAGTCTCGTTTGCATCTTCCACCGATCGTCGATTAAAATAATATACGGACAAATGGAGTCTATGCTGATCTGATCGTAGATAAGGTGGAGATTACCTAAATAAACATTGGAGATTAGGTTCTTGGTTTAATTATCTGTATATGTGCAGAAGGCTTTCGATACGTGGTGTCACACCAGGGGGCGGTGGGTTGGTCCACCACGTCGATCGCCGGTGGGACGGATCACCTAATGACGAGTTCTCTAAGAAGCATTAGAGAGATGACAACAGATTACGAGTTTTTCGTTTTTTGCAGGTACAGCGAGAACTGAGAATAAATCTTCACTTATTGGTCGTTAAAAGTAGATCATTATAAGTCGTCTTCTCCACACGGAAGTGGCTGTCATGGAACGACAACCTGAATGGCTCTTCTCATGCTTGCAGAAACAAAATACGAGAACATAACATGATTGATGATTAGGGCAGGAAGACCGGAAGAGGTAATTTAAGGGCAGTGGTGTGGGACATGTAACGAAGACTTGTTGTTGATATGCATGCGGAAGAGGAGACTTCCTGGCACCTTATATAAGCGGACAAACAATAAGAAGGTTGTCTTATGATTGTTAACATTCGCATTTGGCCCAAAAAGTCTCACCGCCTCGCATCAGAGGTTGGGAATCTATCACGTCTGTGTGAGTTTCTAATGCAAGTTGTAGCAGATAACTTCGATTAGCAGAGAGTTGGCCAACGTGTAATGTCATCTCGAAAGCCTTAGCTCATAAGAAAATAATGAAGGAAGATGTGATGTCTTTGTCAAACAAGTCGAAGAAACTTGAGTTGAAAGAGAAGGAATTTTCTAACTCTTACCGGCTCATTCTTTCATAAATCTCCTATTTATACGAAGGAGGATTTCTCTAACAGATTAGAGGATTTCTCAAAGTAGAGAGATTTCTTTAAACAGTTAGGGAAATCTCATCTGCTATCAACTTCTTCAGCGAGGAAAGACGGTTCGTAACCTTTGCCACCAAGCAAAATGCATGCATGAAGAAGCCTTAAGAAAGCAATAAATCGAAGTAAAACATATTTACGCCTTGTTCGCTATGTGAAAAATTGAAGAAAATTTTCCCTTCCTGTTTCAAGACTGCATCACTTTATAGAAAAAAATTATAACATATTCATATAGAGCATGACTTCGATTTTTGTTTCCCTTAGGTTGAAGAAATAATAACCAAAATAAAAATATTAAAAAAAATGTTTTTCAATGGAGAAATCTTCTTTTATAAGCTTACAATTCACAGCTCATTTTTTACTACTTATAACTCCTTTAAAAAATAATAAAATATTTATTTTACTATTTATAGTCTTAATATTATTGATTTTATTATTATTTTTATTCTCTACAACTCCTTATTTTGATGCTCGATGTTGCTTTCAATCCTTGCTATAGATAGCAACAATATACCTAATTCGGCCACAACAAGAATAATAATCCAAGAACATACCTAATTCGACCAGCATGATAACCAAATTACTTAACAATTTGAGCGTGATGGTTAGGTGGACCAAAAGAATTCATCAGCCCTTGTTCGTGTGATGTGAATTCCTATCCGTCCTCTTATAGCTATTGTTGCTGTTGTTGTTGTTTTTTTTTTTCTTTTGGAAAAATAAGAGTAAAACTATTTTATTAAGTTAATCGACTCAAAGGTGATCGAGAAACAAGAGAATTAGGATGATTTGAGGTTCTAATGAGCGGTGAACTCATTGGGTTATCGTTCCAAAATTATTTTGGTTTCATCAAATTTAGAATCAGATTTGAAACTATCAGTTTACTTTCGATTTTGATTTGACCTACTAATTTCAATTGAAAAAATATATATTCTATTAAGATTCAAACTCATATCAATACGCATCGATTTTGATTTCATATCGATTGGATTCATAAATAGTCAAATAGTAAACTATCCATTATTTTTTTAAAAAATATTAAATTAAAAATTAAATTAAATTAATTTTTTTTAAAAAAAATAAATAATAATATCTCATGTACGCTCTTTAATATAATAAATAAAAATTAAATTTAAAAAATCACAGTTGATCGGATCTACGAAGAATTTGGTTGTAGTTGCAAATAGTATCATCCCTTATTCGATAACCTAATTGTCCATCGACCATTGGACTCTTTGCTGCCCATCACTTGATCCGGTTTGAAATTGAAACTTTGGTTGTCGATCTTGATTATTTTATTAGATCCAATTGAATGATGATGATTTGTTCTCACTAATACCTTTTTATTTTGATATTAGATTTCTTCTTCCCCTACACAATTTTGGTATCATAATTTCAACTTATATTATCAATAAAATTTCTAATAAATAAGTTCATCACTAAAATTGGCACATCCCATCATAGCACGATTAATTTGTATCAAAAAATTTCTGAGATAGAAAGCTTAAATCCGTATTTTTGAGAGAGATGAATCCCACCGCCCACAAACACAAAGGCGAGCTCACATCACATGGCTTCGGATCCGCTGCCGACATTTCGGTCAGAGAATAAAGTGCACTCGGACGAGACCCACCGTATCCAATCTTTCTTACACTCAGTTTAGTTCACCGAATCGAGTTGCCGTCAACTATAATTTAGCTTATCTCAAGACCAGCTTTAAGCGGAAGCCAAAGGCTGCAAAGTGGGAAACGGAAGTCCCATCTTGGCTGGCGTCTGAGAGCCCGTCCCATTCCTTGTATCCTCGAGAATCCAAGGACTTTCTTCTTGAGTCACTGGCCATGCAAAGAAGAATCCTCCAAAGGAACTTTAGTGCTCTCGGAAAGGTAGGATATGGTACAGCGGTGGTCTTTGCCTTGGTTTGGTACATCTCCTTTGGGCTCGGAAATTTCCTGAGTCTATCAGAGAGCAAGCACAACAATGGATCCTGCAAAATTTCCTGAGTCCTTGTAAAAGAGAACCAAAGCCAATCCGCCTTTGTTAGAATGCTTTTCTCATCAAAGCTTGGATGGTCAGAGAGAATACCAAAGTCCCCCATTGCCAGAAGCGGCCCGTCTCCTTACTTTCCTGCATCAGATGTACCGAAATCATGTTATTGTAAATATAAAGATGCATTTGACCAGTAATAGTGGCAACCCTCTTTTCTTCCATCTTCTTCTTCCTTTAGCATGTAATGGAAGCTTGTTTGTGCATGTCTATCTTTTGTAATTCTCATGAGTTTTGTATGTTCCTAATTGTTTCATTCTTCTCTTGCTTTGCATCAACGAACCTCACTAATATTAATTTCTAAATGAGAAAGAAACAAAGATCAATTGTGGTATTTCTTATATGTTAGGATAATGATGGAGCATAAGACAAATCAGAACAGAGTTGCAGCTTACCCTTGTGGCAGAGGATGTGAGAAAAACGGAAGCAGCAGCAGAAGAAGAAGAAGAAGAAGAAGCAGGCAGTGCAGTCAACCCCATGTTGTAGGCCACGGTGCCGTCCGGCCGGAACAGACCGTAGTTCCTCTCCGACGTTGGCCCGGGCTTCATATCCTCGTTAAACAGTGCGAACAAGTACACCTCCAGTCGCCGGTGAGGCACCAGTGGAGTCCCCTCGTTCCCCATCTGCCTCAGCAACAGGTTCCTGTTGTAGACCCTCGCATTTTCTGCACTCGCACCGATCTCGTCGGGGTCGCCTTTCGATGGCCAGCCGGTCTCCGACACCCTCACCTCCACGCCGCCGTACCCCAACCGATCCATGGCGAAGATCACGGCGTCGACTTGGGCGTATAGCATGTTGTCGTAGTGCAGACTTGTGGAAGGGTCCTTCATCCCCGAATTGGGGTTGAACAGGACGTAGTCCAAGGGAACCCTCTCGGGGTCGTCCTTGTAGGCGAAGTAAGGGTATGCGTTGATCCAAAACGGGGACTTGGTTGCGGCCAAGAACTGGAGGAATGGCGCCATCAGGTTCGCGAGGTCCGGCCGGAATGACCCCAAGGAAGGGGGGTATGAGTTCTCGAGCACGGCCAGGGAATTGGCGCTCGAGGTGTGGATGTACGAGTCGAGGCCGAGTTGGACGAGCGCGGCGTGAATGCTGACCATGGCCGGGACGAGGTTCGACATCAACGTCGGGTCGTCGCTCGTGAACACTTCGTTCCCCACCGCGATGCCGGTGATCTTTGTGGCAGGGAAGTAAGGTTTCACGTTAGTCGCCACCCATTGCAGAGCTTGTCGAGGGTCGGTGAGCAGGCCGACGGATTCATTGGGAACCGTGACGATGAGTTCGATGCCAGTGTTCGCGAACGCTGCCAGGACTTTGGGGTTGGTGTCGTAGATCCTCGTGTTCGTGATCTTGAGGGATGTCAAGATGCTGAGAACCTGATCTGGAGTGGGAAGATCGTTGGCTACTTGGCCATAGTTGATGCCTAATGCGAAGCCAAGACGAAGGAAGCCGAATTCTGTCCCAAGAAATCGAAAAGGAGTCATTCTAAGTTCTATCAGACCTCAACTACAAGTTCATTGACATGGATAAGAATAGTGCACCTGAGCAGAGAAGGACGAACAGAACGAAGACGGGAGTCATTCTCGATTCGATGACTATCAAATGACCTCTTGTACACCGAGAGAGAGGAAAGGAAGGCGGTCACCTTTGGCACCTCCCTCTTTGCTTGCTTGCGTGAAAGGTAGAAGGAAGTTTTCTTCTCTTTTGCCAATGTTGCCTTCGAAGAGGGGATTTATATTTCTCTCCGAGTTTGTAGTGCATCACACGTGGCTACACTGCGCTCTACTTCGACCCGGGTGGCGGGTAGGCCACACAGCTGCTTACTTTAGACCGCGAAAACGAGGAGGAGAAGGTCCAAAGGGGAAGAAGGAGACAGCACGATGCTGATTCCTCTTCCATCAATTTTTGAGCCCTAATGATCCACTAACTGCATGCAACCAAAGACAGGAAGCTTCTCCGTTCTTCATCTCGATGTTGTTTGAGCAGAGCAGAGCAGCTCAAAATGGGCAAAGGAGCCTTCCACATTGATGAAGTTATCTCAAGATTTGGTCGTTGACTGACCACCGAGATGTTAATGCAGTATTAGGTGATCGAAGAGACCCACAGTTGTCTCAATACGCTTGAACTTCCTTTTTGGTCAGACAAAAAAAGGAGCACTCTTCATAATCGATGACTGTGTCCACTGAGATCAATCAGTTTTCGTGAAATAGTCTATGCTATAACCTTTGGTGAAAGATGATACATATGGATCAGATTACGATGAATAGGCTGCGCCATCTTTTTGCGACTGAAACACGACAAGAAAAAGGGAAAAGGCATCAAGACATGGATTTAATAAGATCGAGTCCGAATCATACGATCTGTCACTGATATGAAAAGGCTGCCTCTCCTGTTTGACTCGATTTACTTATCATCTACACACCCTTTGCGTATCCTCACGGCAAGATTCAGGTCATAGGCGACAGAGGGTTGGTGAATCGATGATCTTACAAGATTACAATCATTGGTCGAATTGTAGTGCTGCTTTGCAAGGACCAACATATTGATGTGGGTAGAATGGCCCAGACGATATGCTGAAAATAAACTAAGATCGAGTCATAATCCAGTGAGGCTTAGTGGCAACTTAACTGCTGAGCAGCCGAAAGTTGCATGAAACATGGGTTTTGTGGCTCTATACCATCAACATCTTATTAACATTTAGTTGCAGCTATGCACTACCTCAGAACTGACTGCAACTATAAAAGGTCTTCCAGCCGATGAACCGAACTCTGTTATCGCTTCATGTTTGACAGATTGGATCCCGCAGGCATATACCTTCTTTTCACTGACAAAATGTCTAAAGCGGATGATTTGGCATGCAAGAGAAGAAGAAGAACTTTGGTTTGGTGGGTTGGGAAAGATAAGGATGACCATCCATGGACCTCAGACAACCCAGCAAGCAATCACATGTTTCATGTCCGATGAGCACTGTTGCGGGTGACTCGGAGAAGGGCAAAAGCATGCATCAGACTGCGTCATGGATAATGGTTTTGTTACGTGGAGATTGGAACACAGCCTGCTTTGTTACTCCCCCTTTATGGAATTTGCATCAGCAAGGGCCAAAGGAAAAGAAAAAGTTGACTTGAGAGTTGCACTGTCTTGTCGAAGGGTTGCATGGAGGATCGTGTACTCTTTTGCATGGAAGATCCGGTGCTTTTCCCATTGTCCAAGTTAGGCCTGTGAATGTATTTTGAAATGGTCAACATGCACGAGTGTGGAAAGGAAGCTTTATCCATTTACTTTGTTCTGTGCTACGGATGGGCAGGATGTCAAAAACATAAAGATTAAAGCGTCAGCTTAGTCCAATCTTCATGGTCTGTTGGATGAAGAGAGAGTAGAATAGAGAAGAACATGTAAAGGTTTTCGTGGATCTTGTATCTTCTAAACAAATAAATACTTTTCTATTGCTACCATGTATCTTTTAAAGAAATCATCACAAGAGTAATCTTTATCGGCATAATAAGGTTTAATTCAACAATAAAAATGTGAAGTTTTCTCTAATGTCATTGTCAAGGACGAGTTTTTCTCCTTCCTTCGTATGATAATAGAAATATCTTTATTTGTTGAGATATCTATATTGGTTAGTACATTCAGACGTAAAAAATAACAAATATTATTCATATATTAATTCATAAAATATTAACATCTCCAGTAAAAGATAATTTTGTTTTTCTCTTTCCTTGATATGATAGAAATATCTTTGTTGAGACATCTGTATTGGTTAGTACATTCGGACGAAAAGAATAACAAATTTTATTCATATATTAATTCATAAAATATTAACACCCATAGTAAAAGATAATTTTGTTTTTCTCCTTCTTCGTATAATAAAAATATCTTTGTTGAGACATCTATATTGGTTAGTACATTCGGACGAAAAGAGTAACAAATATTATTCATATATTAATTCATAAAATATTAACACCTCCGTAAAAGATAATTTTGTTTTTGCTCCTGCAAGATAAAAAAAACTTAATCTCCCAACAACTCAAATAACTCGTCTATAGTAGGCAGCAACTCAACTCCTCCCTCATCCTCCCTTTGCACCTCATGATCCCCCAGTGTCACCCGCTTTCCGCCGCCTCTGCGGCAGCTTCGATCGACCACATGGCTCTTCTCGCTACGACCGTTCCAGCTCTCCGGCGCCTCAGCGACGACGGAATCCTTCCCGGTGAGGCATTGCACCACGGACTTGAATTGCCCGGCATCGATTTGCACGAACTTGGTGACGATGACTCGCACCTTCGTCGGGACTCTCTCCACCTGGCTGTAAGACATGGGAACGGTAAGAGAGCTCTGTAGATCGTGTGGAGCTCTGCTGTAACGTTATTTCTGGTGTAATTCTACACGAACGTATTTATACACGGTGGTGGTCGCGTGATAGGCCGAGGCAGGGCTTGTAGACCAGTCGGAACAAAGAGAAGAAGGCCCACGGCGACTGAGAATAGTCATCTTATAGTCAACCGACATGAAAAGTACAAATGCGATTCATTTCGTACGTACGTGTGAGCAACACGCACATTCCATATGCGGGCTTCTCACTTGTTGCCACGTAGTGCTTGACTCTACCTTGATCTTTCTGAACGTCACGTCCCCAGTGTGATCACTGGACGTCTGTAGATGTAGAGACAACCTCTCCAGGCGTCTTCACGAAACACGCTTCCGTTGGGCTTCTTGCTCACCAAGCCATCTCGTTTGAAGGTCCAATTCCTACCGAAGGGGCCAACACGACGACCCTCGCACGAACGTGAGATGGCGGAGCTTCGACGCAAGAGAGTTGCTGTGTCTGGAGCTGGTTGGCCTCAACCACAGGATCGAGCCTACAAGTACAATTCCACAGAGATCTTTCCGGTGGCTCAATTTCCTCAACGAGGTGTCCTGCTACTCAATTCAGCCGTCTCCAAATCAAAGTCTCCATGCAAATTGGTGATCGAATTCGTTGAATGTTATTTTTAAGATCCAAAACGACAGAAGGTTATTTATTGGTGATGGAATTCGATTGAAATTTTCTTTTTTTTTGGTAAAACTCGGTTGACTTGTAGGCAGATTATATCTTCTTTGTCAATCATTGACGACGATTTCAATGCTTTAGATAGGACGCTATTTTTCTTTATAATTATATATGATAATTCGTCCAATGCACCTGATGGGTGTCGTTCAACACCAAAAGAAAGAGAGTGAAAGATGAAATAACTACACTGGTTGTGCTTGGGATTATCTAAGTGCAGAACCTAAAATGCGTCAAGAGGACTGAATTCCGCATGAATTGACCTCAGCTTAAGTTTTCTGGTGAGGCCATCGCACCCGTTCGTTCTCTCACCAAGAGATAACCTCAAATACTAGAGTTGTGATACCTCGACGTGATCACACGATATGACGAAAGAGTGGCCATACAAACTAGCTCATTACTAGATGCTTCAAACATTAAGACAGATACATAATTCGAGTATACATATTTGGACAATAATCTTGATATTTGATTTACTACATAATACAAAATTGAGGACAAGCAATAACGTGGAGATGGTGTTGCAGAAGCAGTAAAGATCATCCTTTCTCTGCTTCTTAAACTGCGTTGTGGAGATACCAATCTATCAGACTCGAGTGTAGCCAGTGGCACACTGCATGCACAGAACAGCGTGCTCCCATATGGGACAAGGCATGGAAAGAAATCAAGGAAAGTGGTAGGAAGAAGGAAGTCACCGCCTCCCTTTCCAAGGGATGAGAGGGGAGACAGAGCACAGAAATGTAGGCGAAGAAGAAGGGAGGTCAGAGACTTGTATGTAACCTCTCAACTTCTCTTACTTCCCCTCTCCCCTCTCACCCTTCGAGGTTGAAACATTAAAGGCCCCCTCCTCCTATTTCCGTGTTCCAATACACATTAAGGTAGCCACAAGCCCTTTTAGCCATTGACCACAATATATAACCACATTATGACAGTGATGCACCGACTATATAGTTAGAAATGATATTATATATGTATTGAGATTGGATCTGGATTCTCATTTGTCTCAGTGCATAAATGCTCATCTACAAATCATAAACTTTAGGTGAAATATCGAGGGAAGAACGGATAAAATGTGGTATCCTCAAAACCATTAAGTTGTGAGCTTATAAAGATCGCATCGGATATAAAATGTCGAAGCAGTTAATTTAGTCCAAAGAGGAACCATATTACACCTCAATTTATCATCATTAATCAGGATAATCCAACACCACAAAGGAAAACATTATTGAAGAGGCAAAAACAGTAAAATTTTTGTTGATGTCTGTCATGTGCATTCCCATTACTCACATGCAAATCATTGTCCATGGCAGCAAGAGAGCAAGTCATCTACCACAAAACGATAGACATGGCTCATGGGTGGCTCACAGCTCCTGTTCGCTTGAGCAAGAAAGGGGACCGACAACCACACTGCTAATTGCAAAGGTTAGTCTGTTCCTCCTCCATCCATAATAATAATAATAATTGATAACAGATATTGTTATTGTAATCTAATCGCCTCCGTGTTTGACCGGGCGTGGGACGGACAGGAGAGAGGAGATGGCGTAAGAATCCGCCTGTCAGCAATTAGAGGCCCACGTGCCACAACGATCGCTCGCTTCCTATTATGTTGATAGCATAACAATTCTTTCGTTTTGGTTGGATTCGAGCCCGCCTCGAACGCAGGGCCGCGGTGGCGTGCGGTTGCGGGATCCTCGCATGTGCCAACCCCTCTGGAGCCACACCCGCTTGGACGATCCTGCCCTTTTGGTCACCCACGTCCACCTCACGTGCACCGCAGCAGAAGGCGACCACCGAGGAGAGGGCAAACTAGTCGTCATAGTGTCCCGTTATGAGTGAACCCTGCGCTGGTAAAGGGGCACTTTTGAGAATTTACGTGAATCATCTCTGGGCAGAAGAGAACTAAAATAAGGGAAGAAACGTCAGAGCTGTGGGGGGGGGGGGGGGGAGAATAAAATAGGTTTGATTGGTGGGGGAATAGAAGGAGGACGCAGGAATGGAAGCAGAATATGGAATGAGAGTTGTGATTCTTTTCATTCCCTCTGACCCGCTGTCACAGTCTGAAAAGGCCACTGCACGATTGACAAGCTGCGAACACTTCCATGCTTCTTATGAGGCGATTTTTGGGGAGGTCTCCTGTTCAACGGACAGCTCCCCTTCTTCTCATCGGGCTCTTTAAGAATCATCCAAAAACCACGCCTATGACACTAAACCTAGATATATAAATATATTATGTACCGCTTTCATGGCTGGCTGTGAGCTTTTCTCTCGCTTGCCTTCTCTCCCTTAAAGCCCATCTCCTTCTGGAACAAGCCAAGAGCTGCCCTTGCCTTTTGCCTCACCTTGTCGTCCTTTGCTGCTGCTGTTCGAAGGAGATCAGGAAACCCAAGTTCCGTCAAGGTGTGTTTCAGTGTTCTTCATGTGGTAACTTATGGGAGCTTAAATTGCTTTTAGTGCTGGTTTTTAGACATGAGCCATGACACAAGTTAACACACACTTCCTTTTCTGTTTCCTCTTCAAATCTTGATTGGTTTCCTCATTTTCCTTTGCTCTCCCATCGTCTCTTTCTCAGAGCAAACGCAAACGAGTATGATGCCGAGCAACGGGCAGCTATCGGTGCCCCCCGGTTTCCGGTTTCACCCAACAGATGAAGAGCTACTCTATTATTACCTGAGGAAGAAAGTAGCCTATGAAGCCATTGATCTTGATATTATAAGAGACGTCGACGTCAACAAACTGGAGCCATGGGATCTCAAAGGTTTTCCACTTATAGATTATGAATCTATCGCAGGCAGGTCATATGTGTGATCACGATCATGATATGAATGAATCTAACTTGGAGTCCGAATTCTTGCAGAGAAGTGCAGAATTGGATCTGGGCCTCAAAACGAGTGGTACTTCTTCAGCCACAAGGACAAGAAGTATCCCACCGGAACTCGGACCAACCGAGCAACTACTGCTGGCTTCTGGAAGGCCACAGGGAGGGACAAGACTATCCACCTTAGCAACTCAAAGAGGATTGGCATGAGGAAAACCCTAGTCTTCTACACCGGCAGAGCGCCTCATGGCCAGAAGACTGAATGGATCATGCATGAGTATCGCCTTGACGACGAAAGCTCAGACATTCAGGTATCGTGAATACAGCAAACTACACTCTCTTCTGTTGTTGGTATCCTTTGGGTGGATAAGTTCATTCTTGTTCTTCTTTCTTTTTAGGAAGTTTGACAAAAGTATGCAACAATCGACATTTTAAGCCATTCTAAGAGAAACCTTCTTTTGGTTATGTAGGAAGACGGATGGGTTGTCTGCAGGGTGTTCAAGAAGAAGAATCATCAAAGTGGACTTCCACCGGAAGCAATCCTCGAAGAAGACCAGTTCAATTCGTTGAAGGCACGTAGGCCTGTTCCAGTGGATCAGAAGATGCACTTCCAAAACCCATGTGATCTCTCATTTAATCGCTCCTTCCACCTGCCTCAACTTTTGAGCTCTGAACCCACCATTCCACCTTTCGTGCCTCCACTCCCGATCAACTCGCTCGACCTCGAGTGTTCTCAGAACCTCATGAAACTGACATCAAGTGGAGGTGGTATTCTCCCACAGGAGAGGTTTACTGGGGATTGGTCCATCTTAGACAAGCTTCTAGCATCTCACAAAAATTTGGACCAGCTATTTCACAGCAAATGCAACCCACCTTCGCAACTCATGGACATGGGATCATCAATCCGGAGGAACCCTTTGCTCTTCCTTGGTAGTGAGGCTGACCTCCTGAGGTTTTCTAATTAGGGTTACCACTAAGCCCCATTTGTTTCGAATGGTTATCTACCTACGATTACAGGTTTGTGGTTGTAAATGTATATAGATTCAGTGCTGTTTGGACGATGATCATTTTAAGTTTCTCTTTGGTTTAAATGGTGCAATTATCTAGTTGATTCAGACGTAGGGTTTGTCAGCGAAAACATGACGAACCTTATTATACCTCAAGCTATTATTTCTGGAGATCAACTAAATTTTCGTTTGGATTAAATTACTTATCATATACTGATTTTTCTTATTTCTAAATCGTTTGTCCGAAAGTAGAGTTTTGTATGCTGATGAAGCACCTATTTCTTCCAGCAGAGCTTCTCGAGCCACCATGGATATATATTTGCCGCATGCTACTAAGCTTCAGTCTTATTAAGCAGTGCGTTCTTCGATTCGCTCTATGGAGATGTACACGGTGCGGGTCCCAATGAGTCATTAGTAGGAGGGCGACACGCAAGTAGGATTAGTTAATGTAGAAACCCATCTCAAACAGAATCAGGGCGATATTTTTCTACCTGTTTCTCGGGTACCCATTCGGCCACCTGGCTCGCAGTCGTTGGAGAACTCTGGGAGTAGGACCCACAAAAAAGTCTATTCGAATATTTGAAATGACTTGCAACGGGGGCTCATTCGCGCGCCTATAAATGCAGGGAGAGAGAGAGAGAGAGAGATAGGTCTGTGGTGATTTCGTTGCTCGCTTCGAACTTCAATGGGTTCCGAGGAGGGAGAGGAGTTGAGGAAAGGAGAAGGCCGAGAAGACCGAGGAGGACAAGCGTTGCAGCTGTCAAGGAGGGGGACGAGAGCAAGCGGAGGCGGACTGATCCAGCGATCAAGGAAGCGACAAAGAAGCATCTCTTCTTGTAACTCGCCTCGCTCCACCTTCCTCTCTCGCCATTCTAGCTTCAACTGGTGCTCTCTCTCTCTATCTCTGTTATATTTCACGATGACACTTAGATCAGATTATCCTCTTCTTTTCGTGGTTAATTCAGTTAATCTCTTTGGATCCGAAGAGTTTTCATTATGAAATTTGATCATACCTTCCTTCAGATATGGAATTCTAATCGTTTCCAAGAGCTCACTGAGACCTATTGACATCTGTTCTGCCAGAATTTACCGCTTCAGGATGCTCTTAGGTTGGAACTTTTGGGGTTTGATCTTTCTCTCTTTTCAGATCATATTGCCGATCTCAAAGAATTATCAACTCCTAAGGACTCTGCTTAAATTCCTGATTCTACTTATCAAACCTCCAATCTGGTTACCAGTGGATGAACTTTAAAATTCTGCTAAAAGATGAATCATCGCTTTCGATTCATTTACCCATTCGATCATAACCGTGCGATTTATCGAGTCCGAGATTGATATACATACATACACGTACATCACCGACTCGGTTCTCCCTGCTTTTGTTTAATACAGTGTACCAGGTCGCCACGATGAGGGTAATCTCATCAATTAACGTCCTAATTTATGGTTTAATTTAAGAGTTAACTCATTTTGTCTGGCCTTGAGTTAGTGACGAAAGGAAATTGCCCTTTTATTTTTGAAAATGAAAAATAAATACAAATTAAATTAAAGGTACGACGTGGACTTGTGGACGGAGATAGCCAAATACTTGGACGGCAGCGATCTGATGCGTCTGAGCCTGGCCAACTGCTGGTTCAACCATCTGATCGCAGAGGAGAGCGTCTGGATGCATGCCTGCCTCCGCGACCTCCATGTCCCCCCTTCTGGAGAAGTTTCCTTTCCCTGGAAGGATATATACGGCTCAGCCTTTGGTACATATACCATCCATCCCCACTCCCGGCTATTACTTATTCCCCATTCCCCCGCCTAACTGACACTTGCCCCTTTCTCCCTCCAGATGGCAGCCACTCTTATAACTATCGGCAGCAGGAAAAGCACATTGGTAAGAAGCACCTGTTCAATTGTTATATTTGTTCTTGGTGATGCTAATGCCGTTGCCTGGCCGTTAGACTGGATTCGGATAGGTGCGTTCTTACTTGATTCGCCCGTCGTGTTGCTGACGGAAAACCTGACGCTGCCCAAAATGCTGCCGCGGCCGGAGGACGACCCCGCGAAGACGATTCAGACCACCGGCACGTGCCTGTTAGCTGGCGCCCGGACTGGAATCTGGATCGCCGGTAATCCAGTTGGCTACCGCTGATCCCGACCGTCCGAATCTCGATTTGTTATCTTTTCTACATCCTAACGTGATTGATTAATGGACGTTTCAGATCTGCAACTGGTTCGATGCCCAGTGTGCAACCTCAACACATGTGAAGGTATAACCGGACGACGCTGAGAACTAAACTTGTCGTTCTTGGAATAGACGGCTTAAGATGTAGTTACGGGTGTCTACTCAGGGACGATGCAGGTGCTGGATGCGAGACACGTGGAGCTGTTCTTGGAGGAGGGTTTCAAGGACGGGAGCTGGGAGTACGAAGACATCGGGTCCCACCGGATCGCGAAGCAGTCCATCGCTGCCGCTGGGGCCATCTTCGACTCCAAGCACCTGCCTGATCCTTCCACTGCCGGTAACGCCCGTGTAGCTTCAGTCGCATTGCTTTTCCTCCTAGTTTTAGATTGACACGGCGGCGGCGGTGCTGGTGGTGGAAGGGGTCCTGGATGCAAAGGCGTGGATTGGGCAGCAGGATGACTGGCAGCCTAAGGCGAGGCTGTCGCTCCACGCCGTCGCCGTCAATACCAATCTACAGCCGAACGAGGGTGAGATTGCACTCGTAATAAGAGTGATAAGAATCCAGTCTTTAAATTTATTACTAGGGGATACAACAAACCATGCAGGGCTTCAAGTGCGGTTCCAGGCGATGCGGAGCACAGGGGAGGACCGGAAGGTAGTTTCTATTAGAATCTCGCAGCAACTCGTTTAGGACTATTACCACTTTGTAGAACAAAGTGTAATTTTCCACAAGATAAGATCTCGCTTCACAGACTAACTCTTCTACCTAGCATTTACATTGTATAGTCTTTTTTTTCTTTATTTTTCTAAATACTGTGAGCATTCTGTTTTTTATGTGCATACTATTGTAGATTTTAGCGACCACGTACATGTAGTGGTTTGAGATTGATTGTATGTTTTGGAATCGACGTAAACATTCTCAGATATGGCATATATGGGATGACTCAAATCTCAGGGAAACAGTAACTGGCATATGTGATTGTATGTTTTCGAATCGACGTAAACATTCTCAGATATGGCATATATGGGATGACTCAAATATCAGGGAAACAGTAACTGGCATATGTGTTTTTTGTATTATATGGGCTATTAGTCCATTTCATTAGACCCGCCATGCCCACCAAAAGCGGCCCTTGTGTGGACACAGAATTGGGATCATCAACCCATAATACAACCGCTCTTTCGGGCCGTGTTCATGGGAAGCAGTTGATGTCTACAATCCACAAAAGAAAAATAAAAAAAAATGATGATCTTCCTTGAATAAGTAGGAAAAGTTTAAATCAAGAACACGACAAACCCATCACAAGTTGGTTTAAAGCCTTGTTTCCCTTATCTCTTAGATTGTCGACAAGAACGGAATCACCTTCCATGGACGTCTCGGATGCCTTGGATCTCAGCACATGTTTATCAAATAAATAAATTAGTCAGTTCCAGAACTTAGCTGTAAATCCAAAAACCAGGCAAGTAGAGATCACGGGGTCCAATAATTCGTCTGTATTTTATGGTTTTCTATGACCAACAACCAACATGATCCAATGATCCCCGAGTCATGCCCACAGACGTCATGAATCAACATGACACTGTTAATGAATCACAAGTTCTTAAATTATTATTTAAAAAAATAATTTTTTTTTATATCTTTTATCTTTTAAATAAATTAATTAGATAAAATTTTAGAAAAAAAAAGTCTCTTGATTTAAATTATTATTCTATATCTATAAATAGATTACATCTATTATATATATATATATGTTTAGATTTATTTTTAAGGAATTCAATATATCTTTTTTTAAACTTTTGTCTTGATTATTATTATTTTTTACTTTCATCTTAATTTTTTCTTTTGTTTAATTTGATCTTGGGTTAATAGTATATTTTTATTATTATTTGAGATAGGATCATACTTATATAAGATATTTTTTTCTTTGTTTATGAAAGAACTACAGTTACATATCATCACTTTTGCTTCATAATCTTGCTTGACCACCTTGGTTTTCGGAGTCAACTTTACCAAGAAGAAACTACATGTTCTCGATCCTCTGCTTCCCCAGCTTCGTAGGCACAGAAAGCTCTTGAAAGCATATGATGAAGAAAGGTCATCAGAATAAGAGAATCGTCAGAGTAAAGGCGGTGGTTACAAGGAAGCAAAACGGCTGCTAGCCATGTGCGTCAGAGTCCAAGGCAAGTTGTCCGCGAATACCGTGAGGAAGCTTGAAAGATGGAGGCTGCAAAGTTGAATTGGATCGAGATGCTATGTGCAGACCGATGCCAGATAGTATCCCTGACTAGGAATCGTCGAGAAGATTATGATGTCTTCTGCCCATGAAAGCCAAAATATGAGGAGAAAGAGGGACATTTAAATAGGACGTAGCGGTCTCTTGATGCTTCTCTACTAAATGCTGTATTAGGAAATGGCGGTTTCCTATAGTTTGTTTCCACCTATGTCGTAAAAAGACTTGTAGTTTCACCATTTTGTATGGGTGATTCTTGAAGATGTCTCACTTGCCTTTAATTTGCTAGTTATTCTTCGAATATTTGTTGTCGGTAACGTCTGAAGGTAAAAGCTAACACGAGTCTCAGCTTCTTCTACAACAAATGAGAGTTCAATTAGCTCGGAAATGGAAAGCAAGAACGTAGTGTTGTTGGTGAATTGCATGGTTGAAGCCCTGGTTGCATAACTTAAACGAGACCACCTACCCACTTCAACAACACAGGATTTTTGGTTGGTGATCGATCACACGCCAGCAACTCTGCATGTCTCAACAAACCCCGGTAAACAGATACTCCATCTTCTGGCCTTTACATATAGCAGACTACATCTGCGGGCTGACGATATATAGGTCAATGGGATATGTTAGATAATCTTCGATCCGTTTGATGATTCTTGAAGGAATCCTGGAACCCGATATGCTGCAAGTCTGAGTTCCTCCTCCAAAGGATTACACTGGTAAGATGATCACTCCAGTTTGCAGCTCCCACGGACTTTGGACTCCAACCTTCTCACTGGGTAGATTGGCTGTGTCTAAGCTTCACCTACGTGGGCAGAACGTTTTAATGTATAATTTACTTGAAGCAGTCTTTATTACACACGCCAAGCAATTGAGTGTAGAACAACACTAAGATGCACGATGAACTTGCAGTAGGTTACATCTTTAGCGGGGCGGATGACATAAAACACCATTTAAATTACCTAAAAGGACAGTAATAGCTGATAAGTTCTGTTTTGTATATGTATTCAATAACAAAGCATCGATGTGATTTCCAGATCTGCCTCCCTCTCTCTCTATCTCTCTCTCTCACACACACAGTCGTTGACATAAATGTTATGAAACCATACTTTGACAGCAAATGTTTCAGTGAACTGCACATGGAAACAGTGGCAAAACCAGTTGTAATTGCTGATGAGGAAGAGGAAGATGGAACCTACCACTCTGAATCTTGGAATGATCACAAACGAGTATCACATAAACCAAGACTCTCCACTCTAGATCAGTAACTCATCATTCGGACATCACAAGTATTTACAAGCACTCCATATAATGCACCCTGACACGAGAAAGATTAATCTCTCCCACTCCATTGATGGAGGCACAGAGAAATCTCTAATGGTATTTGGCTCTCTGAGCCATAAACACAGAGACAAAAAGGATGTCTTGGATCAGGTGGTGCCGGAGAAGAAAAACTCATACAACCTCATCGAGAGTCTCCGGGATCTCCACTATGCTCTCCAAAGTGGGCTTCCACCCTGTGGCTTTTCCTCTCTCTTTCTCCATCTCTCTACCCATCTCCACCAACACATCTTCCAGCCTCTGCTCCCTCTTCTCCCTCAAGCGAAGCACCAACCATTCCAGCTCCTTTCTTGTCAGCAAGATCTTCACCTTGCAGCCTCCTGCCTGGTCAGCAACACCTCCATCTCCTTTCTCTGGCTCCATCTCTTCTCCCCGTTTCCTCGGAGCGCTTCTCTCCATGCAGTTGCCCATGGATCCCTGCAGGCACCAAGTGGAACCAGAGAGAAAGGAGTAGATATCAGCAATCAGCGGTGGCAGGAGCCTTCTCCCACTAGTAAAAGGAGGAGTGATCCAAGGGATTTAACAAGCCAAAGCTAAGCAGCACATGGGGGGTCCAATGGAAACATGCATTTGGTGACTTCAAGCACACCAGATTAAACAATGGATTCCCCTTCTGTCGACAACGACGTCGTAGTATGCGGTGGTGGATACGCAGTAAGCGGTGAAAGGCAGGGTTAAGTAGCTGTCGTTGCTTCACCTCCGGCTTTCTTTTGGCGCAGCCTCACCACTCCGCTGGATTGTACGCATAAAAATTATAATTATATTTTTATACCGAAATTTTAATATTAACAGTTAAAACTAAATAATAATA